GCATTACCAAAGTTCCACTTGTACATGTATGGCAAGAACTTTGTTATACAATCTGACCGTTAACATTTGCAGTATCTGCGATCCGCTGAACACCTCGACAATAGGATTTTATGCTGGAGCCTACTCTTGCAAGAATACTCATTTTCACTATCATGCATCAAAGGGTCAGGTAATATTGGAGCTGATTACCTGAGCTGCGTTTAATGAGGACGTATTGCAACAGGTTGTGTGCATTTCAAAAGTTTTGTGGACATGATACTGAATATTCAGTGAGTGATTAGAACTTTGTGACATTTTTTCCCACCTCTTCATCACGCCATAAAAGTTGTGAACTTTCTTAAACAAGGGGTTGTCATGATAGAAACATCATAGAGGCGTGCGAAAAACAAACAAGTGGTCGTCCTGCGGGGGCAATGAAGACAAAACCGAAGTGTGTGCGCGGGAGACGCGTGCCACGGTGCATGTGTCTGTGGTCGAGACAGCGCAGTGGTCAAGGACAGACCGTTCTCAGCTGGACGTCCGGTCCGGGGAACTAAGGGAAATCCCACAGGCGCTACCATTCTTGTACTCCAGCTGAGGACTGGCCCGGGGACCAAGCGAGGCGCAGAGGTCCGGATGGCACTCCTGCCTGCTGCAGGGCAACCGGGACGAGCGAGGCCTGCATTCCAGCTGGGCAGCTCGCCCTGTGATCTGGCGAGGTGCCTTTGTCTTCGCTGTCATTCACGGCGATCGAGCATATTTCGTGGGTGGTGAACCACTGCTGCTGAGGTGGTTCAGAGTGACTGAGCCACCGTTCTTCTCGGCCACGACCCGGGCGTGGCCGAGAAGAACGTGGAGGCCGGGCTACAAAGCTGCTGCAACGGAGATCTGTGCCTTGGCAAGGGCTGGCTCGCATTAGCAACGTCAACCAGCCAGTTGGGATATGGTCTTCGAGCGACGGGCATCGACGTCCTTCAACAGCCTCAAACCCAGCGAGAACCTTCTGAATTCAAAAGACAATTAGCGCAGTTAGGACTGTGTGTATTAGTGTATTAGGCAGAATAACTACCAATATGGATAGGATAGTTAAAATAGCGGAGGAGTTTTACAGATATCTGTACAGTAGCCGGGACAACCATGACTTTAATACTATAAGAACTAGCAGTAACCCAGATGACAACCCACCAGTAATGATAGAAGTCAGAAATGTTTTGGAGAGCATGCAAAGAGGCAAACCTGCTGGTGAGGATCAGGTAACATCAGATCTGCTGAAACATGGAGGACAGATTGTGTTAGAAAAACTAGCCACCCTGTTTACAAGGTGTCTCCTGATGGGAAGAGTACCAGAGTCTTGGAAGAACGCTAACATCATCCTAATCCATAAGAAAGCAGATGACAAGGACTTCAAGAATTGCAGGCCGATCAGCTTGCTCTTTGTAGTATACAAGCTATTTACAAAGGTAATTGCTAACACAGTAAAGAAAACATTAGAATTCAATCTACCAAAGGAACAAGCAGGATTTCGAACAGGCTACTCAACAATCGACCACATTCATACTATCAATCAGGTAATAGAGAAATACTCAGAACATAATCAACCACTATACATAACCTTCATAGATTACGAGAAGGCGTTTGATTCAGTAGAAATATCAGCCGTCATGCAGACACTGCGGAATCGGGGCGTCGATGAAGCATATATAAACATCCTGGAAGAAATCTACAGGGAATCAACTGCTACCATAGTGCTTCATAAAGAAAGCAACAGAATACCAATCAAGAAGGGTGTGAGGCAGGGGGACACCATCTCCCCAATGCTATTTACCGCATGCTTACAGGAGGTTTTCAGAAGCCTAGAATGGGACCAGTTAGGGATAAGAGTTAAGGGAGAGTACCTTAGTAACCTGCACTTCGCCGATGACCATTCATTGCTGGGTAACTCAGGGGACGAATTGCAACTCATGATTACGGAGTTATACAAGGAGAGCAGAAAGGTGGGTCTTGAAATTAATCTGCAGAAAAGGAAAGTAATGTACAACAACCTCGGAAAAGAGAAGCGCTTCGAGATAGGTAATAGATAGGTAATAGTGCACTTCAAGTTGTAAAAGACTTTATCTAATTAGGGCAGGTAATAACCGCGGAGCCGAACCACGAGATTGAAGTAACTAGAAGAATAAGAATGGGGTGGAGCACATTTGGCAAGCACTCTCAAATTATGACAGGTAGATTGCCACTATCCCTCAAGAGGAAGGTATATAACAGCTGTATCTTGCCGGTACTTAGCTACAAAGCAGAAACCTGGAGACTTACAAAGAGGGTTCAGCTTGAATTGAGGACGACGCAGCGAGCAATGAAAACAAAAATGGTAGGTGTAACCTTAAGAGACAAAAAGAGAGCAGAGTGGATCCACGAACAAACCGGGGTTAAGGATATCATAGTTGAAATCAAGAAGAGGAAATGGACATGGGCCGGGCACGTAGCGCATAGACAGAATAACCGCTGGTCATTAAAGGTAACTAACTGGATTCCCAGAGAAGGCAAGCGGATTAGGGGAGACAGAAGGTTAGGTGGACAGATGAGATTAAGAAGTTTGCGGGTATAAATTGGCAGCAGCAAGCACAGGACCAGGTGAACTGGCGGAACATGGGAGAGACCTTTGTCCTGCAGTGGACGTAGTCAGGCTGATGATGATGATATTAGAGTACCTCCCACATTGATCATTGTTAGATCATCTGTCTATGTAATATATGTTTGTGTGTGTGTGTGTGCACTCGTGGCTCGACTCAGTTCCTTGGTGAGTGGGTCTTGGGCACAAACCCTGATGTTACATCACATGCACGGAGTGAACTGTCAGCAAAGAGTAAAAAAGCGCACCCAGAGCAAGCGCTGTATACAGGCGAAGCCCTCTATCAGTCACCTATCTAACGAGAGCACGTGCCGAGAGTGCAACGAAGTGTGTGGCAGGACATCTAGTGAGGGTGCTTGAATCATCGGAGAGAATAGCTGCGTTTCTAGCAGGCACAACGAGAACTAGCTGTTATGGCGTGATGTACAAGGGGCGAGCATAAAAAGCTCGGCGAGCAAGCTTTTAAAGGGCCACTCCCAGGCCCCATACCGAATTTTAGTTAGATAGTGGAAGTTGTTGGGTGTCTAATGAGGAACATTTTCCCACAAAAATTTTTCGAATTGGTTCATCACGAGCGGAGAAAGGTTTTTTGAAGCGGCCCGAAACAAGGATGAGAGGAGGCAAGCTTGAAACCCTTGCCGGTCCTTTGCGTAGCCTTCGCAAGCCAAATCTCTTCCCCACCCTCTCCAGCATCCGACCACGAGGTGACGTGCGCATGACGTGCCCAAACAAGTCCAACCCCCAAACACGCGAGCAGCGCTGCTTTGTTGGCCAGCGTTATTTTGTGGTCTTCTGCCTGTTTCTGCGGGATGGTTTGGAATTGCTGGCTTAGACGCGGTAGAATAGATGAGCACAATGAGTGCGCGAATGCGTAGCTGTGTAGGAGCGCTGCACGGCGGTCGTCTGCTCAATGCGCTGACCCCGGGGACACGAACGCATGTCAAACGCTGGCACATTAGCCCCGAATCTCGTATAATTTCAGGGAAAAAAAATGAAAGAAAATGCGCACAATTTTTTATTGCGTCTCATTATTTATTTCAAGTTTTATTAATCTCTTGAAGCAACAAATACATAAACTACGCATGTTGTGTTACATAATTTTTGCCATGTCACGTGGTATACTGTTGACAACGTCAAAGCAGAGTCGTCTACGTAGAGGATCAACGTCATTGCATTGCCGTGTACGTAGGGCCATTCATACGCTCACGCCATGCCCTCATTCTCTAGGCGTGCGCCGGCAGAGGGGAGGGGGGGGGGCAGCGTTCATCTTGAAGTTTAACCCACTTCCGCGGCGTGTAGCATTGCAAATTTTGGCTGACGTGATCATAAACGCCTCATCTACGCAATGCGCTTGTCACCTCAAAATTGTCAAACCTGGTGAGTGGCCCTTTAAAACTATGTCTGTTTAGTTTACTGGCAACACTTGAGATATTGGTGGTAGTTTTTAAGTGTTCTTATCACCAGACTTAAAAAGGTACGGTATAACTTTAGTGATCTTCCAGTCATTCAAAACTTCCCCTGTTCAAACAAGCAAGAAAGGACTGTGCTAGATGGTTATGTACTGTATATTTTAAGTTATTTGAGTTTATACTATCCATTCTGGGAGAAGCTGAATTCTGTATGATGTTAATGAAATCAGCAAAGTAAGTGGTTGCTATATTTAAAGGGACCACCACGTACAGTCGAACTCAATGGATGTTGGTATTTCAATTTGGGAAGGTTGTGCTCCGCAAATACAGCTGTGCAGTATTTGTTAAAAACAGAAGCAAAGAGCTCTCGTGCAACTGCCAGGCCAGAACTATGCAATGGTAATGAAATGTGGTAATATTACCAGGAAAGAATGTTCAGATGTTCTGAATTATCAAAGACAATAATGAAAGGGAGGAGGTGAGGGAGGTTCAAACTTAGAGTCCAGTCGGAAGGGCAGTTAATATAAAAACGCTTTTTGTCTGAGGCCGGGATGACATGCATGACACATCTTATGGTTAAGTGATATACTCCACCTAAACTATGTAGTTTCGTTGCAGGTATACACTACCAAAATGTATTCTAATTTTCCCTTTTATGTGTTTGATAGCCTTGTACAATTACACAGAACATGAATATACAGTGAACGGAAGTAAATATATATCGTACAAGTTAACTGTCATAATTTATTAATACTTTCACCACAGACATGTCACAATCACACAATATGCATTATGTTACTGCTGTTTGAAGCTCTGAATATATTTTTTTATAAAAAATTCACTAAATGATGCTTCCCGAAGGATCTTTAACGTGTCATGCATGATGCTGATGGATCAATTTTACTCTAGTTCAGCTCAGAATGAAGTACAGTGCTTGAGCCTGCAGCTTATATTTTCTTGTGCGCTTCGACAAAAAATGCACATACCTTTACCACAGAACACTTCAGCTGACTTGAATCTCCTAGGAGATTTCACCAGTTTTGGACACCTGGCTGGCAGTTTGATTGGTGGTGTTATACCCATGCCTTTCCTAATCACTTCCTCAAGAATGTGCTGGTCATCACTTCCATCACTGTCACTTGAGAAGCAATGCTCATGCGCATCATCAGGTGTGCGAGGATTTAGCTCTGATGGCTCATCATCATCATCAATTATGTCAGGAGCATCAGATGGTGGCGTCCTCTCCCAACCATCGGGCGGCTTGCGGCTTTGTAGGCTAGCCACACTTGAGCTAGGCGAGTCTAGCACAAGCCTTGGTAGACTTACTGATGGCTGAACTTCAATGTTATGTGCTTCACTTCTTTCTAGTTGGTCATTTTCAGCAATGCATGAGCTTGATCCATTAGCTTCATCTTGAGCTACTGAGTTGCGCGCTTTTTCCGAGTGGCTGCAGGAATCCTCTGCATGGTGGCTTTCAGCAGTCTGCCAACAACTCTCAGTATCCCCACTGCTGCACAGGCTGCATGATTCTTGTGATGCCACACTTTGCTGATTCATTGTTGCGTCTAGAAACGAGGTATGGTGTGATGGCATTCTGTCATTACTTTGGCCTGTACTCACCCTTTTCACAAGCTTTATGAAAGCAGTTGATACTCTTAGTTTTGCAGGGCTGCTGCTTTCAACTAAAGATGGAAGGGATGCAGTTCGCTCTAGAGCAGCCTTTGACTGGGGCAATTGTGAGCTGCTGTTCACGGTGTCAATGCTAATAGTTGCCACTTTCTTTTCAGTTCCTTTAGTGAGACATGACTGGTGAAATGATGCAATGCCGCTGTCCCCTTTACCTTCTTCAGCAGAATGAAACAAAGAATCAGCGGTGCCAGACCTGCATGACGAGAGCAGAATGTATTTCGAAGGTGAAGTCGTAGCCTTCTTGCAATCTGCCAGCTCATGGAGACTCTCCACTGATCGTGCTTTATTCAGCTGTGGATTTGCTTTTGCTGATAACAGCTTCTCAATGCTTGCTTTCACAGCTTCTTCAATGACTTTGGTTATTTCGTCCTGACACTGAAATCCAGGCGTGTTGCTAGTGCTGCACTTAGCTGCCTTGTCCAAATTTTTCTGACATGATTGTTTCGGCTGTGTTGAAGATCCAAGTTTATCATCAAGCTGTAATTCTTCATGCGTCTTTTTGAATTGGCAGCATTCACAATGATGACTCAGAGCAGCTGCTTGCTTGCCATTTTTTGATAAGCATGTATTAACAGCTTGATGTCTTACTGCATGCGAATAATTATTATGAAAGTCGGCTATCTTCCCAGGCACCTGTCTCCCAGCTGCATTAAACTTTGTAAGGCACCTCTCACAGCTGCAGTTTAGGACTGTAGCTTCATCATCAGCCATAACATCAGATGCTCCAGTGCTGCAGTTTTTCCTTAGCTTCTGCACTCTTGATGCACAATCAATATCATAACCTAGGTTATGGTGAGCTTGTAGCCTACTGGCTTTTTTTGGCTGTTGATGTCTTGAAGCAAGTGCCTGGGAGCGCATGCCAGCTTCTGCACACAATCTCCTTGGCCTTTCTAGAGGCACCTGCTGCTTTGATGCTACTCTTTTTGGAAGCAAAGAGCAGTCTTGATTCGCTTGACTGGTTAGAGAATGAGCACATTTAGACACAGCCCCTTTAGCGCCACCAAGGTTTTGCTTGGCTCCTGGAATCCTCGAATTGGCCAAGGGAGCAGCAGTTTTCATAAGATGTGCCTTGGCATGCACCATCTTTGCAAGATAAGTTCTTGGTGGAACTTTAGGGGCACAGTCGATAGACTTTGGAATTGTTTCCTCTTTAGCAAGATGACCTTGTCTGGGTTTGTGTTGTGGATAAGGCAGAGAATGCTGTGCTGAAATGCCACAGCTTAAGTCACCATTGCATAATACCCAATCCCTAACTCTTTCCTGCTTTTCATTCCTTGGTGGCATCATGACTTGCGATAGTGCCAGAAAATCTTGCTCACTGGGAACTTGAGGCAACTGTCCCAGTTCTGTGGATGTTCTTGGAAGGCCTATATTGTTTACTGCCGTTCTCCAAACATCTTGCTCTCTTGCCAAGCTTCTTCTATTTTTTGCATGCCTTGCAGCACTCAAAACAATTTCTGAGGCGAGGTTACCATCAGAACTTCCTGTTGAACTTTGGTTTCCATAGCTTTTGCATTTTGCAACATTTGGTGGAACAAAGTTCTCCTTATTAGGAGAATAGCAGCAGTGGTTCAAAGAAGACTGATGCTCCCTTTGATTTGCCTGCATTTTTTCTGAGATTGGAATTTTACTAGGACTTCCAAGAAGCTTGCTCCTCAGCGAACATGGCTTCTTTGATCTTCGTTCAGACATGCTCTTTTCAAAAAATGCTTGTGCTTTTGCCTCTTCAGCCCAAATTTCACGTATTGACATGAGAGATGCTCTTGAAGCATCCTGGCCTTCATGATTATTTTCATCACCTTGGTCTTCACTTTTTCTTGAACCGAGGCTTCGACGGTAAGAACGAAGGAACCGCTTTGTTTGGCAGGAGGCAGGTCTACCTTCCTTGTCGACAGACACCGATGCATCTTTTGAAATCCGAAAGGATCGTAACCAGAATGGTATCTTCCTAAAAACAGGAGTCTTCTGGCTCTCCATTCTGAAGGGGGAAAGAAACAATGAAGTGCATACTTAGCTTCTCGTGCAGGATGTTAGCGAAATAAGAAAACTTCTGCATAGAAACAACTGCATACCTATAACAATAGAAAAGACAAAAGCACAGGCATACAAATATTATCTGAAAAAGATCTATCATGCATATCTGGTGAAAGAAAAAAAAAATTGAGAAAAGGCATAGGCATACCGCACATATTTGCAACATTTGTCATAACTTGAACGATGCTCCCTGAAATGCATGGCCATTTCCCTTAGCCTATTTAGAAACGCAAATGGCATCTGAGCAGGAACTGCCACAGTGGCTGTGGTGCTCCCCTGCTAAACGAATGGTTGCGGGCTTAATTTCTAAATGTGAGAAGTTCATTTCCAGTAGAGTAAAAAAGAAAAACACCATATATAGTTGAATTTCAGTATAAAAAATATGAATGAACATATTATTGAATGTGACGCATTAAATCTATGTTATTTCACACCATTATCAGCATGTAACAAATAAGTGCTTATAATGAATATTGAATGTATTACAGATATTGCAGCATTAGGTGTTGTTTCAATGATGGTCTACTGCACCAACATTTTGGGCAAAGATTTTCGGAGGACACGCGATTAAAATAAATTTGCATTGAATCACTACACTATCATATTTCAGATCTAACATTTCAACACAAAACACCAGTAGTGCATTATATATGGAGGTGAGAATGCTTGAGGCCCATGTACTTGGATTCAGATGCACATTAAAGAACCCCAAGCGGTTAAAATTTCTGGCGCTCTTCTCCACTATGCCGTTTCTCATAAAGATATCTTGCTTTTGGGATGTCAAACCCTGAGAATTATAAATATTAACAATCACCTAATAAACACTGTACAATTGTGTTGTGAAACAAAAGCTTGAAATAAAGCATTTGACCATTACCTTTTTCTGGGCCGAATTGCACCAACCACAAAAATTTGAACAATGGAAAAGCTGCCTAGAGTAGCATCACACATATCCCTCAAAATATTTCTACTCCATTGGCATCACTGAAAATCCCTTATTTAAGTACATAGTGCTCATTCTTAAGAATAGTGGATAAAGTGATAAATGGCCTGATCTTTCTGCAAGAAGTGCAGACATGAGTGATGGCCAACTCAGTAAAATACCACCAAAGATTCCACTATTCTTGGTTTTTTATTTCATAAGCATTCAACATTACTTTCAAACTTCTAATGAGAAATCTCGGTCGAACAATGTTCCAAATGTATACTAACACAGTGCAGCAATTGTTACCACCAGTGTCAGACTGTCACAAATGAAGGATAAGAAAGTAATATAATCAAGCAAAGAAATTCTTTAAAGGAGCAAAAAAAAAGGTCACCCACCCATTTGAAGCACAGGACTAGAATGGAAACCCATACACATTTTCACAGGGATTATCAGAAAGAAAGTGTCAGAATTAAAAAAAAAATTTTTCATGATACCTAATCACCATTAATTTTATTGACCGACTGCCCTAAAGAGAAGCTTAACCACTGTATCGTTTTGAAGAGACAGAGATAGGAGAGCCACAGAACGAATTGCAGAAGAAAAAGCTGATATTCTTGTTTATGATTAAATTGCAGTGAGCACAGATGGCAGGGACACAGACCAGGGCACGCCCCGCCGCGGTGGTTTAGTGGCTAAGGTACTCGGCTGCTGACCTGCAGGTCGCGGGTTCGTATCCCGGCTGCGGCGGCTGCATTTCCGATGGAGGTGGAAATGTTGTAGGCCCATGTGCTCAGATTTGGGTGCACGTTAAAGAACCCCAGGTGGTCAAAATTTCCGGAGCCCTCGACTACGGCGTCTCTCATAATTATATGGTGGTTTTGGGACGTTAAACCCCACATATCAATCAGACCAGGGCACAAATTGTTCCTGTAATTTGAGTAATCGACTGCTCAACCTTCAGTTCTAAGGATATTGTAGTCACTAAGAGAAATAGGTGTACCCACACAAGTTGCATAATGGATAACTGCTAACTGTTAGAGTGATGGAATGGGTATGAAGGGATGGGAAACGCAGCCAAGAACTATAGAGAACTAAGTGGGATGATGAAATAAAAAAAATTCATAGGCAAAGAATGGAATCGGCTTACGTAGGACAGGGTTAATTGGATATCATGGGAGAGGCCTTCATTTTGTAAATGGACATACGAGGTCCAGTGGACATCGTAAAATATTAAAATAAAATAAAAACTATTTTTGGATGAAAATGAATTAGAAATGATAAGTATGATATAAAATCTTACAGTTAACGAAACAAGATCAGTTGACATCTTTAGTTATTCAATAGTATTTATAAATTCATTGGTATCAAACCTGCATATTTTGAGAGTGTGGCTTGAATAACGAAGCTTGGGCTTAGTGCTATAATATATGTGGGGCACTTAATAGAACTGCACTTTTGGCAAGTTCGATGGTTTTCGATTGCTTAGTAAGTCTTCTACTGAAAGAAGGACAAAGCACTCCGACAATGTCCAAAACTTCCCACCCCCGCACTCTTAGAAGCACAGGAGTACAAGTGTTCCGATATCACGGCACAAGAACACAGCTGTCCCGACATCGGAGTGGCATAAGTAGACACTGCATTAAGAGCGCTATAGAATAGACATGCTTGGCCATTGGCCGTTTCAGTCTGCTTGCACTACAGGTCTGGATGGTCTGTTGCACTTAGGGGACTATAAAAGTCATTTCCTCTAAATTAATCAGTTATTTATTTAGAATGCCTAACACCTCAACAATTCCTTTTAACAGAGCTCCAGCCAAGACTTTTTTTCCTTGAACAATCGGCCAAGCAAATATTTTCCCTTTGAAAGATGCAAAATAGCAGATAATCTACAGCAGGTTCAATAATTAAAACTTAAGGGGCTTCAGAATATTCTTTGAATCCACCTTTTTCATGACGCCCCAGTCCAGGCACTTCTCCTCTAGCGAGAAAGTCGCAAAATGCCTCTTCATCTCGGAGGCTTTGCTACTGAATATACTGGTTGTACCGGCCCGACCCTAAACAATACCAAAATGGCAGTGAGCAGCACAGAAAAGTAAAAGGTGGGTTATCAGATGCATGCAAACATCAGCATGACTCGGTGTAATATGTCAGGAAAAGCAATGATGGCTGACTATCACATGCCTTGCCACTGTTTGGGTGCCTTTTTTTTTCTGCTCGTGATTTCGGATGCTTTGACAAGCACAAGCAGGCAATTAGATTTTTGTCTATTTCAAAATTATATCAGCACAATCTTTCAGTTAGGCACAAAGGCAGCTAGTTTCCCTGGTACATATGTTTAAAAATATTAATAAACGGTATTAGCCAAATGCTGCTGTTTAAATTAAGCAGATTTGAAATACACTGAAAATGCAGCATGCCAGCCAAAAATGTGCAGTTTGTTTGAATTATCTGAGAGTATGAAATATAACTATCCAGAGTCTACAGTGCCAGGGCTTGGCAAACATTACCAGCAGAAAAAGCTACAGATACCTCTAACAAAGAAAGGAAATTATGTGGATTATGTTAATCCCATGTGTACGTTGAAATTAGTGGACAAAGTGGACGTCCATAAAAACTGTGGCCCAACACGGGAACTGCTAGAGAATAAAAGATGACACAAGAGCAAACTGTTATTTGGTCAAAAGATTGCGCTAATGACATCTTTTCTCACTGTAGTAGTCCCAACGTTGCAGTGCAGTTCATATAAATCAGTACCAACTTGCCCAGCTGCAAGTGTTTCTGTAAAATGAAGCTTTTGCAAAGTGGTTAATTAAATTATATAAAACTAAATTGTATACAGGTAAGTGTGGCTTAATTAAAAAAAAACTGCCAGGCCTGCACAGAATGTGCAGCACAGTTACAGTGAAAGCTAGAAGGGTAGCCTTTCAGAGCCTTTTCTAAACACTCCTTGGGTAACTGCTACAAGCACACTTGCTAAATACCCACTACACCATAAATAATCATAATTTTTGTGTAGTAGGCCGGTATTCACTATGCTATCCTTCATAATTTTTTGGAGTAGTGTGGTGTCCGCTACACACATGCAAGGGATTTTGTGCAAATTTTTTGTGCAGCGGCTGACGACAATGAAGAAGTATGCCTGAAATGAGTACGCATCACAGTTAATAGGTGATCAAGAACAAGCTTTTGTTATGGGTTGGAGCATTGGATGACCCACATGTTACACAATTTCCATTGTGTGATGCCTGGTTGTTCCGCTGCTGTTATAAAACGCTTTATTATCAATACTAACGCGACTCCTTTACCGACATCAAGTTTGCCTAAGACGGAGTTTCAAGCCCCAACATGGCTCTATGGTAAAATGCTGGGCTTGTACACAGGAAACCCAGTTTCGAATCCCACTGCGTGCTTAGTGTTTTTACTTACAGACTTTTTTTTTCGTGCGATAGTGGTTACGAACACCGGCGGCGGACAACAATCGCGCGCGACCCTTGTTGTGATCTCACAACAACTTTCGCTGTAATACAAGCACACACATCAGGCATATTGAGCAAGGGGCCCAAGTTATGCAACACTGTTCAACAACTGCTCCTCTAATGTCAGTGTTAAAAAAAACCAGTGATGTTCTTATATCTCTATCACAGTTTCGTTAATTTCTAAAATTAAAGTTACCAAATGGTCACGCCAACAGCCTTGACTAGCTTAATGTGCGAAATAAATTAGCACGAAAGACGGGACGAAATGCACAGTACAACAGAACCAGCGCCGACAACAGCCTTGACTAGCTTCATGTGCCTGCAATTTATCACTGCATTTTTCCCTCGGGCTACTGCTACAAAGATGTCAGAAATCATGTTGAAAGATCATTATGCGCTCCTAAAATACCCAGGTCATCAGGCCATCGAGAAAAATAAAAAGGCCATGGAGGCGTAACTGCGGGGAACAGAAGGCTAGAGTACCGGCATCCCTTAATTGTAGACCTTTGGACAGGCGTCATATTTCAATAATTGTGTAGCACGGATGAAAAAGAAGTAAAGCATGTCGAAATGCAAAGAAAATAAAGTACAAGTTCGTAAATGGAACATTGCACGATATTTTAAATGTTCATCAGCATCGCTCTTGATCGCGAGTTTTCAACAGGGACACGCCTGCTAAAGCCGCTGTTAGCTCACGGCCTGAGCATGCGGGACATTTTCGCAAAGCAGAGTGAGAAAAAAGATTCACAACCCTTTTAGCGAACACAAAAAGGATCAAAATAAAATCAATAATCATCGATGAGACAAAAGGTGAAGTCAGGCGACGAGTACACGGTGCACGGTTGATCGCGATTAAGCTCGATCGAGATAAAAATCTTTTGAGTGATTGGCCACCTTCTGTGGCTTGTGTAAAAGACCGCGTTGAAAAAATTCGATCCAGGTCATGCCCAATTGCGACTAAAGGTGACCGTGTCACACCGGTATTTTAGGCTGTGAAAGACCAACCTGAAGCAATGTCATTCAAAGTAGCCAGTTTTCGTGTCACACCATATTCTCGGACTTGTAAACGACGAGTTACGTTCCCGAGATTAACTTGGAACTTCTGATACACTTACGCATGATTACCTACGGTAATCACACCTTGCTAAAAAAAAGGGTGCTGCATTGCTAAAGAAAACGTAAACGCTGTAAAAGTTACGGCATTTAAATTTTCGCCCTGTCTACCTGATTGGCTGGCTGAAAGGCAAGCGAACAGCTGCGGTAGCAGCACCCGGATACACCACTGTTCTTGTAAAAAAAAAAATCAAACACAAACAGCCGTGAGTCAAAAGTATTTTTTACGTAGCATAACATTACTTTAAAAATCAAAATTAATAAATGCATTATTATAAAATTTTAATAAAAAAAACTTGCAATTATATAATTTGCGCAATACAAGTTTTTTTGTAAAAAAATTATGACAAAATAAATATAGGTGTTTTAAATGTTGTTACAATCAGAGCATCATTAATAAACTATTCTAAAATAATAAAAATTGTTGAAACAAAACTACTGCTCCCTATTGGCAATTTTCTATAAACCAACAGAGAGAAAAAGTTGCGAGGACATAGAGGAGGACCGTGATGTTTTCGCACGTTTTCGCGCGTGCAACGCAGGTGTAAGTGACAGGCTACTGCAGGCGCAGGAAGTGATTGCCGCGATGTTTTGAACATTTAAGCATCACACGTTCCGTTGATTCGTAAGTCCGCTCTACAGGCTTTGTGCTGTCATTCTTGGTTACGCTGTTGCACCTGGCCACACATCTTGGAGCGTGATTCTGACTGGTGCTCTTTTGCATGCAGACCATGTACGATTTGTGCAACAGCCATAGTGATCATACAGCAAGTCAATGCATGAGACTTCATCTGCGTGGTGGTTGCACAGAACACCTACGGCCGACGTTGCGCATATTGAGAGACCGTCAACAACTTGCTGAGCTCTGTGTGAAAGCTGTGCCCAAAATTCTCGGATCACCGTGAGCTAGCTCATCGTCGTGTCATTGCGCAGCAGAATAACCAGCGCAATAAACGAAACTCGAGTCCAGCATGCGAATAAGCCCTGAGCGGCACGTCGGTGAGTTGTATCCTGGCACTGGCAGCAACCTGCGTGTGTGTGCGTGCGCGCGTGTGCCTACGTGCGTGTAACGTAGACACGGAGACAAAGTGATGTTGACTGCACTTATTCACCTTGCGTAATCCTTCAACACCTTGTCAACACAGTGCTTCTTAACCTATTGGCACTGCACGGGATTGAAACCGCAGAAAAACGGCTGACATCATGAGCGAAAGGAATAGTGCTGAAAGAAATCGGGGCACCAAAGAGAAGCGCTGGAGACACGCACAGTCACCATTGCGCACTGTGGTGTCTACTAGTGTGACAGAGGTAACTGCCATTGAAGAAGCTGATGGTGTTGGCAGAAAGGACATGAAAAGGAAATATTGGGAATTGTTCACATGGGACAGTGATGAGCACAGCGGAGGAAAAAAGAAATATAAGCACGGTAAACGACGTGAAGATTCTGTAGGAAAATATTCTGCTTCTGGTGAAGAGGAAATGTTCGCTGACAAACGTCCCGCAACTTTAGACCGCCACTCTGTCACTAGTAGTCAACTTGTTGAGGTGGGCCAAGAAGACAGGAAATCCAAGAAGGTGAAAAAACGAGTGCACATCGATAGTAGCGAAGTTGTGGATGTGTCTTGTCTTGGAGAAACTGAGGAAGAAGTTGAAGTTCATGGCAAGAATAAAAAGGACGATGATTGGACTCCGGAGTATTGCGTTAAAGGTCACAAAAAAAGGCATGAAGCACGGCAGGACAGCCGTTGTGCTGAAAGTGAGGACTTGCTGCTTTGCAGTGACAAGACTCTTAAGGATGACACTGCACTGCCAAATGACAAAGGCAACCACACAGCACTTGAAAACAGCAATGAAGCCATGATGTCTGAGGCAGGTGACAGCCAAACTGTAAAGAGTTCAACCAAAAAGAGGTGTAGAAGTACCGACAAGTATAATCAGGCAGTCATTAGTCCAGATCATCAAGTGAAACATGTTAAAACTAGTACTCCTAACTATACAGATGATATAGTGCTATCTAACAATACTGATCAAAGTGGTCACACGGCCTCTCAACATGCTGACAATTCTTCGCATGAAGGTGTAAGACCAGTAAAAGCACCGAAGCTTTCCTCTCAGAAAAAAAGACGAAAGCTGACCAACGTAAAAGAAAATGATGAGTCCTTGTTTAATGATAACATTCCTGATAATGATGCGATTTCACCGGAGACCTTGGAGGAAAGAGCATCAACAGTACCAGAAGACCACGATGATGAGGAAAGGGCAGATGACAGTACGTCAAAGAAAAAAGCAAAGCTTCACAGTCTCCAAAAGCTGGGAAATGGCAAAATACTATCAAAAGCAGGGGCAGGCAATTTAAGCCCTGCAGCTGAAATGTCTGAAAGTACTTTGGCAAATGAGAGTGATGCCCTATTTAGTAGCGAGGATGGTGGTCGTGGTAGATGTAGTGGGGACACGTCTCATGATCTCACACCTGAGCAGGCATGGCATTTGACATTCTCATCAAGCCTTTTACCAAGCACCTCTAGTTTGCAGAAAGGTGCCTCGGTATCCAAATCCAGCTCCTTGTTGAAGCCATGCAAGCAGAGGAAAGAAGCTGCAGGTGAGTTGTTTGATTACATCTTATGTAAGTTTGGTGTGTTGTAATGATGGGGATGTCTTGATCTAGTCAGGATATTGCAGAAGAATAAACTCCAGAGTTTTAACCAAATGCTAATTTTTCTAATAGAATATTTCAAAACAAATAATTGAAAGTATAATTGAACACTTAAGCTTAAATTGAGGATAATGCAATGAGCAATGGAAAAGAAAATGATAGGTGTAACCTTAAGAGACAAGAAGAAAGCAGAGTGGATCAGGGAACAAACCGGGGTTAAAGATATCATAGTTAAAATCAAGTAGAGAAAATTGACATAGGCCGGGAATGTAGCATATAGGCAGGATAACGGCTGGTCATTAAGGGTAACACACTGGTTTCCCATAGGTGGCAAGTGGGTTAGGGAGAGACGAAAGGTTAGGTGGGCAGATGAGATTAAGAAGTTTGCGGGTATAAGTTGGCAGCAGCAAGCACAGGACCGAGTTGACTGGCAGAACATGGGAGAGGCCTTTGTCCCGTAGTGCTTAGAGTTTCGTAATATACACTAGATGGAGCTCTGGCACTAGTGTCTACGGGAGCAGCTACGCACGGCTATTCAGCGAGCATGGAAATGATGGGTAGTACACACATTTGTTTAATCTTCGTGCTTCTGGCCTACTTCTGGTTCCGTGTGTGTTCGTGTGGCTCGGAGCTGTTTTCTCACGAGACGAAAATCAACAAAAGTTCAGCGGTTGCGCTTCACTACCTTATTTTTTTAGGCTTACCATTTCGAATCGGATCATGAAGTTCAAAAGGGTTCACCGTAACCAGTAATAAACGAAGCCGCAAGTACGAAGACTAGGTAAATGTGTGTACTACCCATCATTCTCATGGTTGCTGAACGATCGCAGTGCCAGAGTCCCCTCTAGTTAATTTTGGGAAACTCTATGCTGCAGTGAACGTAGTCAGGCTGATGATGATGGTGGTGAATGGAATGTTTTATGTTTAAACACGGTAAAATAAAAAAAGACTACTGCTTCTGACAATATTTGTGTATCTTATTTAGAGGCACATTGCATGTAATGCCATTAGCTAATTATCATCCAGTTAACTGAGGAACTTTTTAGGGACAACTTTCATTCATCTGGTACACATTGACAGTAATGAAGAAAAGGAAATGGCATGTGAGCCAACACCTGAAGTAAGGAAGTGTGACACTTTAGCACTGCACTATGTGAGACCAAATAAATTGCTTTGCCTTATTTAGAGGCAGATTTGTAGGATTTCTAGAAGAAATGACAAATTTATCATGAATGACTAATAATTATAAAGTGGAAGTTATTTAAATCATTCAGGTATGAATTGGTGCTGCTACTAAGCTACTGCAGCACCCTTCAGTAGAATAATTTCAAACTGCCCTCCTTTCATCGGTGGTATTATCGCTGTGTGAAGACCAGTTCGTAGCGGCCACATTTTGATAAAAAGGAATGCAAAAATATGCATGTATACTGCATTTAGTACATATTGAAATGACGGGCCTTGTAACCAGATCGTCGGTGCAGCAATTAATACTCCAGAATTTATTTTATATGTATATATCTTACTGTTTTCTCTTCAAGTCAGTACTAAGTGTTCATTTTTTTTTTTACGTATTTCAATGAAGTGAATGGAGTTTTCAATACTGAAGTCTTCAACTAAATTTGACAAAGTCTATTATAAATTTCATCATTGCAATTTCGAATATTTGCACTGAGAATAGGAAAATAATTCACTTTTAAAGAGCTTAGTGCTGCCTAAAATGATCACAAGTTAATAAAGACCAACATAATTTGTACAGGTGAATGGGTACACATTTATTTTAAGGAATTCTTTAGATGTGCAACTTTATAAGAGCATAATTCTGGAGTAGCCCTTTTTTTGTTTTTGTCAGTTAAGCTTTCCTTCTGAGGAACCTCATGTGTATTTTCATTGTAGCTTTGTGCTAAAAATGGATGGACAACAATTTATTGCTTTTGTCAAGTCCTTTCCACTTTGCATACTTCTGCAAAATTTATTTGCGATATCTTTTATTCCTTTATCTACAATTTTCTACAACCAGTGATATCAAGACGTTGACTCTTGTTTACTATTTATATGGCTGACTAGCAAATGGTGCCTTTTGCCAAATCTAATACTAGTATCAATCTCTCTGTAAGAGTTGAAGTGTTACATTTACCCGCAGTTGTTTAGCATAATTTCTGGGAGGTCGTATCCTTCTCATTCAACTATAAACTTTATGATCTCTACCACACTTTGTCTTAACCATCCTGGTGCAACAGATGAAAAATTTCTGATCAGCAAATGTCATTGGAGCCCATTCTGATCAGTGATGTTTTATTCATCAGGGCAGCAACCATTGTATCAGGGTGAATTTCTACAGAGATGTGTGTTTATTTAATATTATCTGATGGCGCCAGCAAAGTCATTGCTGCCATACTCATGGGCAGCTTGTATAATGTAACATAATTTTCATAAATATAAAATAGTGCTTAAGACACAAAACAACGGAGGAAGTTAGACACATGGTGCTGTGTGTGTGACTTCTTCCTTTGCCCTTTGAGTTAAGCACTGTTTATATTCATCATGAAGACCTACCAACTTGCCTAATCTGCCTGTCTTGTTCAGTTTAGCATCATTTGTAGAGATCAGAAAACGAGCTATAGAGATGCACATTAGAATGAACATCCTTGAACTTCATGCAATATATGCTTGGAATATAACACTGACCCATAATTATGTGCTGAAGTAAGTTAGGACACTAGTCCCGTCCTTTTCAGTGTTTATATTTAGGAAAATCTGAAATAGCTGTCGTATTTTATGTAAACATAAACTGTGCTAGGGACGAGACAAAGAAGCAGACAAGACGAAAGCATTCAACTCGCTATTTCTCTGTTGTCTTGTTTCTAGTGCAGTTTAAGTTTGCATAACATGTCTTACCAACTAGCCCGCAATACACACTTCTTGACTTCACAGCTGTAGCCGCGCACACATTGCATGGCGCAGCAGTCATCATGCATGCGATGGCCTGTATGCTTTTGTCAAAGCTCTGCTTTCATTGTTATCAATTGCATAAGTCATCTGTGGTCTCTGGCAAAGGCTGTATGTGCACTTAACTTCACAACAGACCTTTTAAACAGATGCACTGTTCTATCATTGTATTCCAAGAAAGCAGTTCATAAAATAAACTATCACTAAAATTGTGTAGTCAAAGTATAATATGTGTTTACGCAGCAGCTTAGTGGACTGATAAAGGTAATATGTTTTCATGAGCTGGTTCATGACCTTATTGTTTCATTTCACCTGAATCCTCACCTGATGTTTCTTTGATATTGTAGAACATTGGATAAAATATTTTTGGCCCTCTTGTTTCATAGCATTTAATGACCCACGCACTGAGCTGCTTGACACCACTCCATCAGAAACAGCATTTCGTAACGATGAAGAAAACTTCAGCTCTCCTGTTGATTCGGAATTTTTGGTATGTATCTTCTGTTTGCTTCAGTGTTTTCTCATTGTGCCTTAATGAGCATAGGGTGTTATGAGGAGCCTTGTTCTCGTCTAAATGTGAGAATTGTTATGAATATGTATTGTGTATTATGTGGTGTGGCCCCGTCGTGGTGGTCTAGTGGCTAAGGTACTCGGCTGCTGACCCGCCGGTCGCGAGATCAAATTTCGGCTGCGGCGGCTGCATTTTCGATGGAGGCGAAAATGTAGGCCCGTGGTCTCAGATTTTGGTGCACGTTGAAAGGCCCCAGGTGGTCAACACTTCTGGAGCCGTCTACTATAGCGTCTCTCATAATCATATGGTGGTTTTGGGATGTTAAACCCCGCATGTCAATCAATCAAATCAATCTTATGTGGTGTGTTCAGTGTTAAGCTTACCACTAGAGTGTTCAATGCATGCATATGATATACTGCGGGTTGTGCATCTAGCTTATCGGTCACTGCCACCTCAGTGTTGCAGGATATCTAAAATTACAACAGTTATGATTGTCCACTTTGAAATGCTAAAGCTATTTCTTGCAACTACGTTTTTGGAGCTGTATCATCTCCTAATAAGAAAAGAAGATGGGCAGTTTCTGTTTGGCACTTGTCATTCGGTGGTATCTAGTTTATTCTGTACTGTAGGTAGTGCAACAATTAGAAGCCCTATTTCTGTCATATTGGGCCAGTTGGCAGGTCACTTTTGTTGACATGATGGTAAAGAGCTCTGCTGTCATATTTTAGTTACTGTAGAAGACTATGCTTGGAAAAATTGCGACAAGGAAAAAAAAAAAAGTATTCTTAGTACACAACAGGCTTATAGTAGATTGATTGATTGATATGTGGGGTTTAACATCCCAAAACCACCATATGATTATGAGAGACGCCGTAGTGGAGGGCTCCGAAACTTCGACCACCTGGGGTTCTTTAACGTGCACCCAAATCTGAGCACACGGGCCTACAACATTTCCGCCTCCATTAAAAATGCAGCCGCCGCAGCCGGGATTTGAACCCGCGACCTGCGGGTCAGCAGCCGAGTACCTTAGCCACTAGACCACCGCGGCGAGGCGCTTATAGTAGATAAAAATACATTTTATTGGGATGAATTGCAAAACAGGCGAGTAAAAGCAGGAGGCCGTCAATCTTCCAAGGCGCACTCGTGACCTATTCCAGCACTATGTAACAAACAGTTGAGGCTACTAAATGATGTTACGGGGAATAAAGTATGCACTGGTGAGCAAAAGCGTACTGGCGAATATACTGGCGAGCTAATGCGTACGACGCTGCTGTAGTCCGAGCACGTTCCCGTTCAGCACTTCGTCGTCGTCATCCTCAGGCATCTACTTAGCCCGTGACATTACCCGCCGGCGGCAGAAGCACCGTCCCGGTGCGATCAATCCTCGAGGCGTGAGAAGTATGGTTTAAGCCGTGAGACGTGCACTATATCGGTCGGGACTGAAGCTGGTACTGACGTGGTATGGAGCGGAGCTATCTCATAGGTCATGCTGGTGACCTTGCGTATGACGCGGTAGGGGCCAACGTAACGGGACATTAGTTTTTCGCTGAGACCAACACGACGAGATGGGAACCACAGCAAGACGAGTGACCCCGGAGAGTACTGCAGGTCGCGGTGCCGGCGATCGTAAGCACTCTTTTGGTTAAGCTGCGAGGCACATAAACGATCCCGGGCGACTTGGCGGGCGATGTCAGCTCGGGCCAGGGCATCACGAGCATAAGCACTCGATGAGGGTGCGTCAGATTGGAGCATGGTGTCTATGGGCAAAGGCGGGTGATAACCGAACAGTAGGTAATAAGGGGAAAATCCAGCTGTATCATGACGTGAACTGTTGTACGCGAAGGTAACGAAAGGTAAGTGGATGTCCCAATCTTTGTGATCCTTGGAGACGTACATCGCTAACATATTCGTCAAGGTACGGTTGAGGCGTGAGGCCGTTGGTTTGCGGATGGTACGCCGTAGTGAACTTGTGGTGGGTAGAGCAGGATCGCAGGAGCTCGTCGACTACTTTAGATAGAAAACAGCTGCCGCGGTCGGTGATCAACTGACGAGGAGCACCATGACGCAGAATGATGTCATGAAGAAGGAAATCGGCTACATCAGTAGCGCAGCTGGTGGGGAGGGCGCGTGTAACGGCATACCGCGTTACGTAGTCGGTAGCAATAGCAATCCACTTATTACCGGTGGCCGACACGGGAAAGGGTCCTAGAAGATAGAGGCCGACTCGAAAAAATGGCTCATCTGGTACTTAAATGGGCTGGAGGGTACCAGCAGGTCTCAGAGCAGGTGTCTTGCGGCGCTGGCAGAGGTCGCATGCCGCAACGTACTGTCGCACAGAACGGTAGAGGCCAGGCCAAAAGAATCGGCGGCGAATGCGGTCATACGTGCGTGACACCCCTAGGTGTCCAGCGGAGGGGGCATCATGCAGCTGGGCCAAAACGTCTGAGCGAAGATGCACAGGAACAACGAGTAAAAGCTCAGCACCATCAGGGCGGGTGTTGTAGCGGTGCAAGATGACGTTGTGAAGAACGAACAGTTGTAAGGAGTGGTCAGTGGGGGGAGAGTGCAGACCATTGATAATAGCACGCAAAGAGGGGTCGCGGCGTTGTTCAGCAGCTATGTCGGTGAAGTCGGTAATTGAAAGAACGAGGGCCTCTTGCTCATCTTCCCTCGTGTCAGGGGGATCGACTGGGTAACGGGACAAGCAGTCGGCATCCTTGTGAAGTTGTCCGGATTCATACGATACGGAAAAAGTGTACTCTTGTAAGCGCAGCGCCCAGCGACCAAGGCGTCCCGTAGGGTCCTTGAGTGAGGAGAGCCAGCAAAGCGCGTGGTGGTCGGTAATAACTGAGAATGGTCGGCCATACAGGTACGGTCAGAATTTCGCAATGGCCCAGACGAGGGCTAAGCACTCGCGTTCTGTGATGGAATAATTTTGTTCCGATCGCGATAACAGTCGGCTTGCATACGCGACGACGAGGTGCATGCCTTGTTGCCGCTGCGCGAGCGCTGCGCCTATGCCGTGGCCACTGGCGTCAGTACGAAGCTCCGTGGCGGCAGATGGGTCGAAGTGTGCTAGGACTGGTGGATTGGTGAGAATGTCAACGAGCGACGAGAAGGCGTTTGCTTGCTGTTGGCCCCAGGTGAATGCGACATCCGTTTTGAGGAGGCAGGTTAGAGGACGGGCTACTTCAGCAAACTTCTCGACAAAACGACGGAAATAGGAGCACAGTCCCAGAAAACTTCGGACGTCCTTGGCTGAGCGGGGTGTGGGGAAGTCGCGAACTGCTCGGACTTTCGCAGGGTCTGGTTGAACGCCCGCAGCGTTAACAAGATGGCCGAGTACGCAGATTTGGCGTTGCCCAAAGCGGCATTTGGACGAGTTAAGTTGCAAGTTGGCACGTCGAAAAACATCAAGCACTGCGGACAGACGGGTAAGATGGTCGTCGAAAGTAGTCGAAAAAACAATAACGTCGTCAAGATAGCAGAGGCAGATGGTCCACTTCATGCCTCGAAGGAGAGAGTCCATCATGCGCTCAAATGTCGCGGGGGCATTGCATAATCCAAAAGGCATCATCTTGAACTGATAAAGTCCATCAGGAGTCACGAAGGCCGTCTTCTCTCTGTCTTTGTCGTCCACAGCGATCTGCCAGTAGCCTGAGCGAAGGTCTATTGAAGAGAAATATTTGGCACCGTGCAAGCAATCGAGTGCATCATCTATGCGCGGTAGGGGATATACATCTTTCTTGGTAATATGGTTGAGATGGCGGTAATTAACACAGAATCTCCAGCTATTGTCCTTCTTTTTAACAAGTACAACGGGTGAGGACCAGGGACTAGATGAGGGTTCGATTATGCCCTTATCAAGCATTTTATCGACTTCTCGCTGTATAATAGCACGCTCCGGGGCCGACACACGGTAGGGTCGTCGGCGAATGGGTCGAGCGTCACCGGTGTCGATGTGATGGGTTACCACGGATGTCTGGCCCAAATTACGGTCGCCGAAGTCAAAGATGTCCTGATAAGAAGCAAGCACACGGCAGAAAGCAGAGACTTGTTCAGAGGTGAGCTTGTCAGATAGCATTGGCTTGAAAAGGTCGGAACAGGAACGTGACGAGTACGACGTCGATGAAAAATCGGGTGGCGAATCGGTGGTTAGAGCGGAAACTGTGTGGTTGACCAGTGGTGTAAAATGTGCAAGTGACATGCCGCGAGGAATAACCTGCGCTGAGAGGCCGAAATTGAGGACGGGAAATGAAGTTCGGTTGTCCTTAACGGTAACCACCGTGTTGGGGAGTGCAACATTGCGTGTCATGGTGACGTCAGAAATTGGGGCAGCAACATAATCACCATCGGGTACTGCAGGATATGGCGAGAGTTGGACTTGGACTGCAGCTTGCGGCGGAAGTCTAAGGAAATCGACAGAGCGTAGACGAGGTGGGCTGGTAGAGACGGTCTCCGAAAAGGATGGTAGTTCGAGCCGAAGAAGACCTTTGGAACAGTCAATGAGCGCAGCGTGTGAAGTCAGAAAGTCGAGTCCAAGGATGAGGTCATGAGGGCAATTTTCCAGTACAGCGAACAGAACTGAAGTTTGATGCTCAGAAATTGTTAATCGCGCAGTGCACATTCCAAGCACAGCAGGAGTACTCCCATCCGCTGTACGAACGGTAGGTGCAATCGCAGGCGTCAAAACTTTTTGGAGGCGGCGGCGGAGGTCTGAGCTCATCACAGATATTTGTGCACCGGTATCAATAAGGGCAGTTATAGGTAAACCATCAACGAGAATTGTAAGGAGGTTGCAACGCTGGTCGGGAGTAATCAGAGGATTTGCAGTCCGAGTCGTGTATGCAGCGTCACCTCCGGGGGCTGCACCGGCTAGTTTTCCGAGCGACGGTCGTAGGGAGACCGAGAACGGCGGGGTTGGGGCGAGCGGGACTGACGACGCATGGGCGATGGCGAGCGGCTGGTCCGACGTTCTG